GCCATAAAAAGTAATAGCCCGACCTGCTTGCCAGCTGCGTCAGTATTCAAGTAAAGTTTAAAGTACCTTTGTGGGACTTTAGAGTCTTGGAGGGTCAGACCGGCTTATTTTAACAAGTGTAATATGCACTTTGAAACAGCCTTGTCATCTGCTTGTTTAAACTAAAAAACAAAACTCAAAAACAAACAGGAGCAAAGGAAAGGTATAGGAAAGGTCTCAGTATCAGTATTAGACTGAAGAGTGTCTTCTTGACACTGACACTTTGATATTCTTGCCTTCCTTTCTAATGCATTAAAATATCATGAAGTCATGCAGCCATTTTAAATGAGTATTTCAGGAGTCCAGTTTTCATAGAGGTTAACTTGATCACCAGCACAGCACTGGAGAAAGCTGATTTAACAATATTTCACTTACAGAACTCTTCAAAGGAAAACAAGAAATACAATTCCACAAATAACAATGCCAATTAAAAACACAGAAAGCAAATTAGTTTTTTCTCAGTGTTTTTTTCTTAGACATTCTTTCAGAAAAAAAATTTTCTTCCCTTACCTCTTTCTTTAAAAGCAAATTTACTAACCAACCAGATTTTAGAGTTGTCTTCTGTCTACATGAATCTAAGCTTTTCTGAATCTGCCTACAGGGGTTTGGGGGCATAGGATTCCCTCTCCTAAATTTCAGAGCCATCTAAATGGCATCTGCTTGGTTTGTCTTGTTTCTCCTTTTGAATTTGTTCATTCCCCTTAGCATTTCACAGGCCAATACTACTGCGAGAATTTAAGTGTCTGCATTTGAAAGAACTTTGAAAAGTGTGAAGCTGTGCTCAGTCCATCTTCTCCATGCCTTTTCGATGTAGTTTCTTCTATCTTTACATGTACAAAATCACAGTTTGTGTAACATTGTTTTAAAGGAAGAAAATAAAATACACACACATACATTGTATTGGTGAACACTATACACTAAATTTTTTTTTCAACAGCATAACAGAAAGTTTGGCCTACTGTAGGTTGAACATGTAGGGAAGGCTGAATTTTTATGGTTGCCATGCAAGCCACCTTCAAGACAAAACAGATGAACCCACCCAAGAGCAAATGCAGCTTCTACTCTCAAGCCATTAGACAAATACTGCCTTTCCAGGGATCAGACTGACATCTCACCAATCCAGTCAATGCAGTATTTAGAGAACCACACTGAGTTGCTTCTGCATCAGTCCTCTGAATCCAAACACTGTTAAAACCAAAGGGGGAAGAGGGTATTTGACTTGCCTTATTATTATTAATATGTATATATTTTAATAACACTTTGAATTTCAATTTACTTCTGAAACCTTGCCCTTTGAGAAGAACACACCCTTTAAGTTGATATTTTTCCAGGCTTCTGTTCCTTAAAATTCTCTCTTCTTTTCATTTCGCTGTTCTTTTTCAATTATCTACCAGAAAACTTGCTTTCTTCCAGCAGAAATGTGGCTGGTGGCCTTGGGCTTTCACTGCACCCGCTCTGTGAAATTCTCAGGGAAAACCCCTCGGCATTGGTCAAGTTCCTTATGCTGGATCCAGTCAGACTCCTTCACACCCATCAGCCATCCTTCATCCTGGAGAAGACAGAGATCAGATGCTGAGGGACAGATGTGAGCGGGGATTTTTCTTACAGAGTGCAGGCCAATGAGATGTCAAGGCATTATCAAAGCCATGCTCATATTTGGCTTGGAGACAATCCAGGAAGAGGACGGGGGAGAAGGAAAAAAATGCTTTCATTCCCTTTTAAACAGGGAGAAGGCTACATCCCACCAGATCGGTACCAAAACTCCTATCTCGCCCAGAATGTCTAGAGACAGTGAAATTGTAAACAATTAGCAAGCCTAATAGAAACATGTCATAATTTACACCCACTGAGGCAGGAGAAATTCTGCCAAAGAAAAGTCTCTAGAGCTACAGGATGGGAATCACCTATCTCACCTGTCACAATCTAAACATGAGGGGTCTAGCATTCTCCATGGTCATAAAGAGACAGGCACCTCCACAGAGCAATTCATCCCATTCATCATGGGCACAGGTCTTTGGAAAGGATGAATCATTCCCTGGAGGTGCACATCCCCTGCTCCAGTCAGGGCACCTGGAGGATTAGCATTTTAGACAGGTGGTACAGAAAATGAGTCTTGTTTGCTATGCTGAAATTCTGGTCTATGAGAATTGGGAGCTTAGGACCTCAACCCATCTTCCCAAAACCTAGTAGTCTGTTGGGCTTGATGCAAGGTGAGATTGGCAAAACTCCCAAACTTGTGCTACACATCATGTAAGACTCGAGATGTCTCACAAGTGTCCATCCTAGCTACCAACAGGGATGAATTTTCACTGAGGCAAATCGAATCCTGCCTGGTAGAACCTGCTCAGGAGGAGAACGAGACTTCCCACGCTCTGCCTGCAGGGTGTCTAGCATCAAGATTTCTGCTCCATCTGAAGCACATGAGGGAGGCAAGATATTCAAGGTGGGAAGGCTGCACTGCTTGCAGCTCAGGTGTACAACCATCCTATTGTCTGCATGCCTTGGAGCTGCCACCATGGAAGCACCCATGTACTCATGAGTGCACCCACTCATGTGGGTCATTTGCAGTGGGACAGCCTATGTGTTAAGACTGCAGCATGAGGCAAGAGAGCTGCACAGGGGACCGCTGCCTCCAAACTCGACAGCCTGCTCTGCATCCACTCCTCTGGGCAAAGCATGCACCAGGCTCATTTAGAAATATGTTATCACATTCAGCTACATCACTTGCCAGGGCAGAAGTGCTCAGGCAACCAGATGCTCTAAGCTGTGGGGAAATGGGGCATAGGCACATGTGGTTCACACAGTTGTTCTGATGCTTCTGCTTTCCTGGAACTGGCAGAAGTTACCTGGATATTTACCCCAGGCCAAGCAATGCCTCCCCTGAAACATGTTCTTAAAAAATGTACCTGCACAGTGCAGGAGTGATGCAGCCCTTGCCAGGGGTGATCCATGGGGCACGTATTGCTTTCCACTGCCATTTTGCAGCTTCTGCCCTCTTGTCCTGTTTTCTGCACATTTCATGTGGCAGCAGCTCAGACCACTCATTGTATCTGAGTTCCCTGCTTCTTGCAGGCTGTACGGGATGCCTGCAGGCTCAGTTAGCCCTTGCTGCTGCCTTAGATTTGAGCATTCAGGGGATGTCACGGGAACGGCATGAGACCGGAGCCCATCTGCAGCAGCCAGCTGCAGGGGCTGTGGAAGGACTGACATGCCATAAATCAGGAAGACAAATGACTAGGCAGAAGACGCTGAGCCCAAGTGTCCGGAAGGCAGCTTCTAGCTCACAGCACGGCAAGCACAAAAGCTCATCCATATTTGCACATAGCATCTGTGCCATACAGCATGCACCACTCCCACTGCATCCTGCTACAAAGGGTCTCCTCAACTGTAGGGATTAGACACAAGGACCCAGACTGACCCTTGCCAATTTTGAACCACGTCACTTGAAGTGCCAGCTTAGAAGTGTTGCTGCCCTCAACCCTTTCTTCTATCAAGAGAGATGAATCCAGACCTGGCTGATGTACCCACAAACAGACACCTAAGCTGCAAGATGGGGACACGGATCACAGTCTATTATCCTAAGCTTCCTCCACTGACGTGCACAGTTCATGCACATGTTAACAGCCAACATTTGCTGGCTGGGTATGGTCAAGGTTAGGGAAATGAGCTGTAGCACAGGATATACCGTAGGAGGGTTAGAGGGCTTCAGAGCAGCTACAGCATCATGTTAGCAACACTCAGAGCTCACCCTCTGCAGCTTGGAGAGTCTCGAGTTCATGGCTGTTGCACCCACATCCAGCTAGAGTGCAAACATAGGGCATTGAAAAACTCTGCTCCACAAATGCCATCTCCTACCACAGAAACTAGGGGAGCTGCTACTCATTTCCCATCCAGAAAGCTTTCCGAGAAAGAAATGCTCACAAATGCTTGTGCAGGACAGTCCCACTCAGTGAAGAGCCTTGTCTCCAGAAGGAATCACTGCCTCTTCCCCATACAACCCTTCCCCCCAGAACACCTAGCTCTGCGGGAACTGCCAGCATATTATAGTTCCCATTTCACAAGCAGCAGCAAGATCTGCCTCCATAATTCACAAAGGCAACAGCTGAGCCACAAAGAGGATCCACATCTTCTGTGGCCAGTGAACTACATCACCTTCCCTTTACCCCTTGTGGAACCCAGATCTTGTCTGGGCTTGGCCAAACCCGAAGAGCTGATGACTACTGAATCAATTTGGAAAATTCCCTTCCTTGTCCAAACAAACACCTGGAGATGTGAGCATGAATTTTATGAAATCACCACCTCCCTCAAACAAAGTAGTAAAACTGCTGCAGACTTTATCAGCTGGAAGCCCTCAAACACAGCAAGTGAGGAGGATTTACTCAAGGCTCCTAGAAATAGCTCAGATTAAAGAAAAACATCACCAATTAAATTCAGGTTGGAGATGTTCTCTGGGGCTGAGCAACCTGCTCCAGCCTTTGGTTCTGCTGCCATCTCCTGACCAAACACTGTCTTCTGGAAATAGGCGTTGCTATGCTGAAGTACAAGACATCATCCATGGCAAGCTGCTTTCTCAGAGCTCCAGCATTTCTCAAAAGAGGAGAAAACATCATCATAAGCTGTGGGTCACTCCTGCCGATGCCACAGGCTGCACTGCAGTGGTCACAGGGAATGTGCATCAACTTTAGGAGCAGTGAGGAGGCAAAGTATGGGCTCTGTTGGGCTCCCTGATCAAGGAAGCCATTGTATTGGCTCAAATGCCCTGAAAGGGACAGGAAGCCACAGCTATTTCACATGCTTTATGCAGGATAATGTCTCCACTTTCCAATCACAAGCAGAGTCTTCCCCCCTGTTGCAGGAAGCCAATCTCAAGCTCAAGGAGAACCAGCCCTCCCACCAGCTCCCAGCCACAAACTGATGGCTCTGCATCCAGCCAGCCAACTGTTAGCAGAGGAAGAAGCAGTGCTGGAAATCCCCTTGGCTCCTCCTGGCCCAGGTTCACACCCTGTCTTCCCCACTCACCTGCTCCTCAGGGTTCTCAAATGGAATCACAAGCACCACATCCCCGGCCTTCAGCTGGAGCTCGTCGCTGTCGGTGGCCGTGTAATCATGCATGGCCTGGACCTATGGGGAGAGGAGAGCTTGGGTGAGGCCAGCCTTCTCTCACCCAGCTCTGTAATGGGTGACAAGGCTTTCCACTTCATTGATTCACTGGATGATTCAGGTTGGAAGGTACCTTTGGAGGCCATCTGACCCGACCTGCTGGCTGCTCAAGGCAGGGTAAGCTTGGATCACAAACGCACATCTACAGGAATAAGCACTTCCCTTAATCTAATGGCTACATGCTTGTTCATACAGCCTGGCATGCAGCTTACCTTTGCCACAAGGGCAACCTGGTGAGTCTCATGCAACTTGTTATGCATCAGCACCTCCCCGTCCTTCCTTAGGAGGGCTGAATTCCCATGGTATGGGCCTAAAGACCTCAAAGGGTAGAAAGCCTGTATTCACTCAAATGGTGCACTGTATTCTTTTTGCAGCTGGACTGCAAGAGTATTAGAGATTATAGCCTCCCATCTCTGTCACAACAAGCAGGGAGCGGAAACATAGGGAAGAGTATCAGTTTGGATCTTTGAGTGCTTGTATCCTGCTATGTTTTCTTTTTGGTATTTAGCCTAATTCCTATCAACATCTGCGTTACAGCTTTTCTACTTTAAACCACAGCTCTCCACTTCAAGCACTACAGTCTATAATGCTGCCTGTAACCAGCCTAAATGTGATGAGCCTCCTATTGTTCTTCAGGATTTTGTCATTCTTCTGCTTTTGGTAGAACTTCCAGAAAAAAAACCAATTATGCATGGACATAACTAAAGCGGAAGAAAAGCATTCCTATAGTAGGAGACTGTCATTTCTCACTTTCAGGGCATGATGCATCTGTGCTGTCTTGCTACCATATTCCTTTATGCATGTTAAATTTGTGGCCTATCCTCACCCAGGATCACTCCTTCCTCCACACCTTCAAAACAAGCTGTGAGTGATCTTTGGCATATTCAGAATACCCACCAGACTTCCCTGTCTAATCCCTTATTTTTCCCTGTTCTTCCTGGCTTTCTAGTTTTCCCAAACAGAGAGTCCTCTGTCCCTACTGGTGTTTACAAGTCTTCTTCATTTGCCATTTGCATCAAAGTTTAACCTTTCCACTTTGGAGCACAACTTCTTATCTACTATCCAGAGCCTGTGACTGACACTACCACACCACCATAGATAGAAATAACTGCAGCAGAGAGAAGGAGAGGTTTTGCTATACAGCACAGCCAGATGTTTAGACACCAATACTCTTATACAGTCCTTTGAAGCATCTGGAACTGCATGAAGCTGGGCTGCTGGAGAGGAAGGTATATCTCTCCTTCAAATTCCTTTCTCCCTTTCAATGCAGCATAGCCAATGGCCGTGCTGAGCAAAAGTAGTTAATTCATTACAGGGGGAAAAAAAAAGAATCACCGGGAACTCAGTGCCCTACCACCATGCACTCACCTTGAACAGAAATCCTGGGGGCATGTCAGCTCTTTCAGATGAAGCACCTCCTTCCACAGTGCCATTGACGGTAGCAGGAAAGGTTTCCACAACAACAGCAGGCAGAGAGCTCTGATAGGCAGCAGCAGCCAGGGAAGTTAAAAAAACAAGCCATTGAGAAGAGAATCCAAAATTGCAGCTCCAAGTCCACCCTGGGGGATCCACATCCCAACCCCACCCATGGCTTCAGCAGATTTTCCCAGCACACCAGCCAGTGACAAAAACACCCCAAAGGACAGCAGAGGCAGCAGTGAGAAGGCAGGAGAGGTGACCATTGTCTTCCTTTGCTTAAGGCTGCAGAAGGGCAGAGAGGATTTACAGTTTTTCTGGGACCATAATGCCCAGCATTTCCCATTCGCTGCGGTCATGACACAGTTCTTGTAGAGCCCTTGTGGAACAGACAACTCAAATGTGACAGCCTATAGGAACCAAGCAGCCATGTGATGGGACTTAGTCCAGTCCCCTAAAAAAGTAGCAGTGTCAGGAAAAAAAGAGGAATCCTGGATATTCAGGGGACACAGGCAGAGCCCAGAGGACAGGGTAGGTAATGTAAATGGCGAGCAAGGAGGAATCCAGAAGACAACACAAGCTTAGCACAGTATGGGGTGTGAGCAGGGTTCACAACATGGGTGAGTGGACAGTTCTTTTTGTGGATCTTCCAGCAGAGCTTCTCCCTAAGCATTACACAGATAAAATGCAACAGCTAAATCTGGCCTCTGAGTAAGAGTATTGTAACTGCTGCTGTGGCAGGGATGTGTTTTTCCAAGCAGCCACACATCTCTCTTCCCAGCCCAGCCTCCCACATCTGCTGTATGACAAAGGGATGTGACGGAAAAAAGGGACCACTGTCCCTCAAGGTGCTTACCGATCCTGAATCGGCTTCAGTTTTAGATGCTTCAGCTCCAGCTGCTGCTTCTGATCCAGCTGCTTCAGCTCCTGCATGGGCTGCTTCTGCAGGCTGCAATACAAAAGTCATCCAGGTGGAGAGTTATGCTCCTTACAGCTACATGTGAGTGCAGAAAAGTGCAGCTCAGTCTGTCCAAGTGTTCTATGCTGTTGACTGCTGCCATCTGCTGACAAATAGGTGAGAAACTTCAGGGTCTTACTAGGTTTCTGCCTCCCTCTATCTCTGCAACTCAGTGAAATCACAGTAAAGCCTGCATTCCCTCACTTCAGCCACACAGCAGGCAATACTCCAGAAGAAATCAATGAAATGCCATAAATTCTGTGCATCTCCTTCTTTTCACGATCTAAAGTGCAGACCTACTTTACACAGGCACAGTATCTATTATTACATATAGTTTGCCCACTTGTATGTGAGTGTAAGTCTGCTTGCACATCAAGGGACACTGGTTTCTCAATAGGCTACTTCCCAGGATCAACAATCAAGGAATATTTAAGCCTCTGCATACTCCCAGACACAGAAGAGCATGAGTCTGGACCCAGCATCTACATGACATTAGCACTGAATCAAACTGAACTGAAAACTGTGCTAACTTTCACCCAATTTGATTTTGGATAGACCCAGAGAGTCATGAATTTGGATTCTGTTGTGAATATTCTATTCGTAAGAATTTGCTATGAATATTCTGCATGGTGTGTGCACACATGCACACATTTGTGTTGGTGGAGAGGGGAGTTTCTAATGCACAAAAGCTGCCACCACCAGAAATATTCGGCACCACCTGCAAATCACTGCCTGGCAGAGACTGTTCCAGGAAGCCTGGGGACAGGCGTTTCTGTGCACAACAAGAGACCAACCAAACACCTCTGACACACTTCCAGCAGTTCAAGTTTTTATTCTCCCTTGCCTGAAGTCAGGCTAACTCTGTTTTAACACAAAATTAAAGATACTAATTTGCCCCTCCCAGAAACTGCAGCAATGCAGAAGTAAGTTGGATCTGGTAGCATCAATGCTGCAGATCAGCCCCTTGGGAGACTGGCCAGGCAGCACCTGGGAAGACTCCTGACAAGAACCTCAGGGGTCTAATTTGCAGCCCAAGTGTCTTCATGGCCAGTCTATATCCATTTGTTCTCTATACCAGATAGCACATGCTCCTCTTTGCAAAATCTAACCAGATACCCACTTTATACTTGCACAATAGAGATTGCTGTACAGAGATTTCCCATTTTTAATACATGTGAATAAACCAGCTTCAGCATGCCTACATGCCTCATATTTGGTAAACACGTATACTCCTGAATATAACCATGTTCAAAACAAGGCATTGTCCAGATTTATTAATGTTGCAATTCTCATAGTCCTAACCCTACAAAAGCCCAGTGTAAAGCAATGACCACGGTAACCCTTAACTGTGCACCCACCTGGCTACTAGCCATGCACTGGCACAATGCTCCAAATAGTTTTCTAGTAACAGCAGCAATAACGAAACAAATCCTTGATTTAACAAAAAGCCATTACTTTTTTCTTCAGATGCTCCAATAGTGCTATTTAACACATGCTTTCCTCTCCTATCACATTCTTCCTCATGTCTCCCTATCATCATGTCCACAGACCTATATTGCCAGAGTGTATTATAAACAGCAGAACTGTTCCCATCCTGCAGAGGATTCCCACAGCAGCTTTGGTAGTACTAAGGTAAATGTATGCATATAAAATGCTACAAAGGCTTCTCCTGTTTAATTAGATTCACTCCCAGGTTGCTTTTTATTTGGATTCAGTGAAACTGGAACTTGGACAGATGCCGGCCCAACTCTATCTGGCCAAGCATGGTTTTTATGTGGACAAGTGAAAAGGAGCTCAACATGAGCTGCTTTTTTAAAAGCAGCTGATTTCCAAAACCAATATTTAATAACCAGAGAAACTGAATCTAAATTAATCCCCTGGATTTCAACAAAGGGCATTTTCATGTCAGCTACTTATTTTTCTGTTTTATGTACCTGTGGGCATCCCAAGGCTTATAAAAGCAGTTACAGTCATGGAAAGATACTATAGGGAGAAGGGTAAGAATTGCTCAGTGCTGTTGCCAGGTTTGAAAGCTTTGCTTATTCCAACAGCAGCATCATACACACCAAATGCAAGTTTCGTAGTCTGCAGAACTAAGCAAGTTCTCCTGCATCCATGTGTCTATGCAGTTGTTTACCTTATGGCATATGGGACTCTGTAACCATGCAACAAGTCTCCTCTCATCAACAGCCAAGAACAACATTAGAGCAAAAACACTTCAGAAGACTTGAAGAGCAAGAGGAGGATTCCCCAGCTATGGGAAGCTCTGCTCTTCAACCGTGTATGGTATGCCAAAGTGAAAACTGGCCTGATGAGAACATCTTGTCCGGTAGCATTCCCTGGTTGATTAAATTGTCCTTTGGGTGAAATCAGTTTCCAGGATGGCAGAAATGGCCCAAAACACTTTTTACCCCAGACTGTAAGCACAGCTCAATCAGATACAGTCATACCTCACCCCTGCCCATCCACTTGAAAAGCACAAGATCTTTCCTTATGAAAACACAGACTGCTTCTCTTTCTAAGACAGACTGACAATGCACATACAGGGGAATGACAGATGTTAAACACTGATGGCTGATAAAACACACAAGAGAAACATCTTTCTCAACATGACCCAAGGTCATGGGAAGGAAAGCACTGGTCACAGGGAGCCCTTGGGTCAGGCTCTCAGCAAGGGTTAAGTCATGTCCTCCCAAGTACTGACTCTAGGTGGTGATCTGGCCCTCCAGAATGGAAAGGTTGACAGGACTCATTCCCCAGCATAAGCCAAGGACACGTGCTTAGATCGACACCATGGGATATAGCCAGCTCAAGTAGCAGGCTTGAGTACCCAGACCAAGCATTTTCTGTCCACACCGCTGGCTGTTTGTCCAGAGGGGCTCAAAATATCTTGTGCTTGAAATATCTCCCAATGGGCTAATCTGCAGCAATCCGAGACCTTCCCAGGCCCAATATATCTAGAGAGAATAAATGAGGGTGTGGCTTTGGTTCAGATGCAGAGCATGTATAGGGTCCTCCCTGTCAGCAAGCTCCGAAGCTGATGTTGAGGCAGATGCCAGGTAAGTCTTGGGCCTGCACTTTCAGTGTAGACACAGGCTGAGCTATTTCACATCAGCCTTTCTGGCAACGATGGCCAATGAACAGCAAACACCACAGGTAATTCCAAATGTGTATAAATACCCAATGGTACAGGCAGTAAGGACAAGTGGCAGCTGAGACATTTATGCATCGCACACAAGACCAACAGGATGTACAGAGTTTAGGAAATACGGGCGAGTGGAGGGTGAGGATGATGCCACAGTGGGATTAAGTTTGAGGAGAACATCACAGCATCATGCCAAAGGAAAGATGAGTGAGTTAGCAGGGAAAGGCAATGGGGTTGTGCACTGGTGGAGATGTAAGTTTCGGAGTGCCAGACCTGACGTGAAAACATGTGGCTGCCCCTGGGTCTTCACAGAAGGTGCAAAAGTGGGTTCAGCCGCACATGGAGCAGAGGAAGGAAAAGCAGGGAGGGAAAGGAGACAGGTATGCGCACAGAGATGGCACTGGCACATGCACAGTACATGATCAGAGATGAAAGCCATATGAATTTCTTACCTCCCATAAATCCCAAGGTAAAGACTAAGCATGTCAAAGAGCAACAAAAATAAAACATGTTTATACATGATTATTTCAGTGAGTACAAACATTTACAGATGCTGATCAGACTGAAGCAGACATACACATTCAACAGCACTTATTTCTTCATGTTTTAAAAATATTTTTTACTACCTGAATTTATACACCCCTCCCTACTGCATGTTCAAATTTAAGTACCAGGCACTTAAGTCCGGTTTTTTTCTACCTCTGGTATGAAGGGAGGCAGCCAAGCCACATTCACTTATCAGTGGCAGACCACATAGACAGAAAAAAAAACAAAACACTCATGAGTTTGTGGTCCATCAGGGTGAAGTATGCTCCCATATATCCACACCCAACAGAGTTAGTATGATTTCAGAACAAGACTTCAACTGGTATCTTTGGATCAGTAGTGAAATACCTTAACCTCTTTGCCATAGTGCCCACCCTATAGAAAATAAATTCGACTGCTTTGAAAACTAAGTGGTTTTCACTAGGTTTTGTATTGTGGTTACCACTAGAAAGTACTGATTTCAGATTCTTTCTTTTAATGACTTGTGAATAAATACATTAGAAAAACAATATGCTATTGCTGAGCAGTTTTGAAAAACCCACTCAGTGTAATACTTGTTGCTTTCTGGAAGGGTAACAAATAATTCCATTTTAAGTCAAATTTATACTCATATCCTATGGCAGTATACCCAATTATGCAAGTTACAACTGGTGATTCAGAAAAAAAAAACAATTCCAGTAAATAAATTTAAAAAAAAAAAAAGGGCTTATCCTGGCATGCAGCTTGTTCTGTCAGGCAAGCAGACACAAAATGCCAATCTGCTCACTTAAAGTTCCAGAAAGCGGCAGCTTGCCATATTGGTATGTATCAAACTATGATAATAACTAGTACTTTGCAGATATGGTATTTTAATTCAGAAGAATCAAATGCCTAATGTTTGAACTCTCTAATAAGAGAGGTCTTATCACTACAAAAGTCTGTGTCATACAGGCCTACTTGACATGATGATACTGGAGAAACACTGTAAACATCCCAATTATGTTTATTACAAATTTTAATGGCAACCACAGGCAAAAAAGAACCATTTCAGACATATGAAATGGAAAGTCCCAGTGAGGACAACAGACAAATTCAGGATGCACTTGAAAGCCTCCAGCCACTTAGACATAAAATGAAGCACAGCCCACCTGCCTCTCTCTGACAGTGGACAGGACCAGCTGCAGGCCAGACCAGAATTAGGCTTCTTCCTTTTTGATAATGTACTGTGCAGCACTATGCTCAGAGGGGAAGGTACTTCTTATCTATGAATAAAGGCTATGTTATACCCAGGAAAAGAAGGGCTTACATCACTTGAATATCCGTCTACAGCTTTATTCACCTTAAGTAACTGTAGATTATCAGAGTGTTTATTAAAAATCCCTTTGAGAGCAATTTATAGCAGGAGCACAGAACTGAGGCTGGATTCTCATCCACAGAGTACAGTTTAAATCCATATAGCATACAGAGGATGCTAATCTAGGGAGGGACATACATTAAGTTGAATGAGTTGTCAATCAGTAGATCATCAGAGCAAAGCACAAGCATCCCACTGGCACCGCAGTGCCAGACTGCGGCCAGACTAATAGCAACCTGATTCTCACTGGACTTACACAGCCAGCAGAGAAGACCAAGGTGCCCATCTGCAAAGCACAGGTCTGGGCACCCAGCCCAGCCACCCACAGCTCAGGTCCACATTATCATTCATGTGGGTGCAGGTCATGCCACACTTGGCAACAAGTCAGTTACGAAGGGAGAAGGAATGGTGATATGAACCAACCTGGGAGGCAGGTGTGGGGGTCTTCCCCACAGTGGCATCTGGTTTAATGGGATCAAAATCCAGATCCAACAGGCTGGCTCCCTCCTGGAAGGGCCCAGGGGCATCAAACTTGGCAGCAGTGAGAAAGAAAAGCAGTACGAGCATTAGACACACACACACACGTGCACCATAGAGGGAGGTTATGATATCCAAGAGCTAAGGCTGCAAGCACAGAAGACATGGTGGCAATGCAAACACCTGATGTGACTCCTGACTGCTTGGTGCCTATAATCATGGGCAGTTTGCATGGGTGCCACTGTAAACCAGACCTAAGCCTTTTCCACAGGACTCATTCATCTTCTTATCTGGCCAAATGAGTTGACATGGTGTAAGCACCTGACCTGCTGTGGTCAAAATGATCACTGCCCCTGACGACTCAGAAGGGCTTCTCTTCTATTTATATCTATTCCCCATAGCTCATCCAGCTGCTGCCTTTGTACAGAAGGCCCAGGACAGACTCCCTCAGCCACACACAACTTATCTCAGGAACATGGACCCAGGCAGAAAATCATTCAAACTGCTGGAAGACAAGTCTGAGAAACCTCAGAGCTAACTCCCAAGACCCCTAATTCCCTCCTGCTTTCTGAGACAGAAACACAGAATATGGCAGGTCACCCTAGTTAAAGGATTTAAATCACTCTCCAATCCAAAAATGCTGTTTTCAATGGTTTCCATTTCTGGACATCCCAGAAACATGCACACATGAGTCTTCTACCTAAGCATAAATTTGAGAGGCTTTGCTACTCTTTTCAAAGTCAGCAGAGTAACTCCCTTTGACTGATTAATGCTCTAGCTAAAGACAATAATGGCACATTTGCTGATTACCATTAATAAAACAAAGGACATGAGTCATTAGTATTCAAAACTGAACTATCACTTCTGATTTTTAGATTTAACCTAACCACAACAAGACAGTCCTTTCTATTCAGCTTCAGAAGAGGCTGCTCTCTCCAGGAAGTCCAAGAAGATTTGCACCTGTTTCCACTGACCTCCCAGCTCACTGGCCCCACTGCTTCAGCTAACTTTCCAACAACAAAGTGTGGCAGGTTGGTCTCCACAGTAATCTCATAGCCCCACAATGGAAAAACTCCTAGAAAGTAGCAAGAGACAGCATTTAAGACAAAGTCCTCTGAATACAACCCACACCACCATAATTTTCACCTCCTCTAGTTTCCTCTAATTCTCTTACAGATTTTTTTCTCTCCCTTATGAACACCTCTTTTTGAGATCCACAGAGATGAGGACAAGGAACCAAGCTCTCTCATCTCACAATAATAAACCCTGACCAGTATGCAAAGACCAGCTGGCATTCTACGCTCCTCCAGCACATCCAGGCCACCCATCAGAGAGGCTACAACCCCAATCTTTAGTTTTCTTTGGTAATGAGAGATCAAAGGCTCCAGTCACGGGTCTTACCTGCCATTCAAGACTTACATGAAAGGGCTAGCACCCCTTGCCTTTACCCAGATCTCCCACAAGACAGCTCACTGGAGCTAAAACATCTGACAGCAACGGCCCTGGGCAACACACTGAATGCTAGCACCTGTTGGGTGCTTCAGTGGAGATTGCTCTGGCAAGGAGAGTCCTCCCTCAGAACTCCCATCTGATTGAAGTCACAGATCCCATCCGGGGTGAGAGCACTGATCAGGTGCACAAGAGTACATCTGGCTGAGGGCTGGCGTTCACATGGAAATACATGATACAAACCACGGGGCAGACAGAGCTGTCCATTATGGTACAGGAGAAGGAAGCACAGAAAATGACAAAGAGTTGCTCGGCTGCCTGCAGTCCCCACCTTCCAACGCTGCTGTCAAATCATCTCTCTGCTCTGCAAGCTTTATCTATTGCAATGCAAAATCTGACATGGACTTCCTTCCCTCCCCACTCCACCTGTGCTCCTCAGCAGCTGGGTGGAAGGTGGCAAACCAGAGGCAATGGAGCATCATGATGCAAGGAAAAGTTAGGGAATGAGTCACAGATGAGCACTGATAGAGACATTACTTGTGCTTTAACAAGCATTTAGGAAAAAAAAAATATATATACATGTATATATATATAAAAAAAGGTAGAGGTGGGTATCTCATGATACAGCCAGAAATCTGGTCAGGCTCCTATATACATAAAGACTGACATTCTCCTAGATCCAACACAGAATTCCCCACCTGGGCATCCTCTCTTGCAGTGATGTAAATCAAAAGGAAAGTGAATATGAAAATATGTACTTTGAAAATGTTTTTCCTTTTTCAGGGCTTCAAAAGGTGCCACATGGCAAGAAAGAAATATTCTGATGGGAACCGCTGGCTGGTGAAGAGTGACAGACTGTGTCAGCAGTCCTGAATTCACAGCAGGCACAGTCCTGCCCATCTAAACTGGAGGCACCTATTCTCTGCAAAGAGAACTTCATGCAATTCCTGTTGGCCTTTCCTGTGCAGGTGTGGGCTTTAAACCACAAAGACCATGTGTGAAAGCACAGAGAGCACAAAACTGCCTTCTCCCAGAACTGGCATAGATGCCAGGGTCAGCACTTGGGAATGTACAAGAGCAGAAAACACATGCTTCATCCACACCCAGAATCAGTGGGTCTGGTGAGACCATATCATGGGATATGAGGGGAGCCATAATCCATGTGCATTCC